ACCAAGTAAACTGGCTGAGAGTATCCATTAGGTATTCAGAAATCTGTGAAAGAGACTGCTGAGAGCTGAACCTGATGTTGAAGGCATCAGTCCTAAAGATCATTTCACAGGGAAGCCTTGCTCTTCCTTTCCTTTTTTAATATGACCCGAATTCACTGTTCTATGTAGGCAAGGAATTAATGACAGGTAGGACTTTTTTCTACTAACATGTAGTTGTTTTCAATGAGAAATTACTGACGGTTTGCTCATCCCATCATTATCATTCGAGGTGAACATGAAACAGCATCACATTGCCAATATTGCCACTGCTGGGGAGACAACATCAAGAAATTAGAGGTCTTTTGAGAGGATAGGGGTCTCTGAAAAGCTGAGTGAGCCTTTAGCTTTCAAGTCCATCAGTTCCCTTACGCCATGTGCATAGAAACACTTTCTCTAGTGTTCCCTGGCAATCATAGTAATAACAAAGAAAGAGGGTTGACTAATGAAGAAAATCCACAGAGAATATTGAATATGCTTGTGAGCACAGTGAGAGGGAGGATTTCCAGGGCAGAACCTGCTGCAGGGATTCTGCTGGTTCTGGAATACTGACTGAAGCTCTAGCTGCAGATCTGCAGAGACCTGCCTCCAGTCATGCAACATGCAGGGGCCTCACCATGTGCCAAAAATGTTGTCCAGACAGGATGAAAAGAGAGAGGCTGGTCTTTGAGCTGAAGAGGCCTGGTTCTAAAGATTAGATGCAGTCCAGACACCTTGCAGGTAAGTATTCCTGGAGCAACATTTCTCACTTATTGAATGCTAACACCTTAAGCCATGGCAAACTGAAGGTTTTCCTGAGGTGAGAAAATGTCTCTCACAAGGTGACCAGTGTTTACAACACCCTATGTGATGGCATGGTAAGCAAAAAATAAGGAAGAAAAGTTAAAAGCATCTGAGAGGGGAAAAAAGTGGGGAGAAATAATATGCTTAGAAGTCAGGGTTTCAATCCTGAAAAATAACAAATAAGGGGTGAGGAAAAGAAACAACTAACTAGGAGAACACAGTAAAAATGGAAAGTAGTTTAAAGAAAAGATAGGAAGAGGAGAAAGGCTACTGAAGGCTCAATGTTAATTGGAAATTGTTTTCACTAGTATAAAAGGCACTCCAACTTAGCAAACAGAGTTATGCAGCATTCTATTTCTTTATGAAGAGGTAGAAGAAAAAAAAGGGAAATGACATCTTGCTATGATTGAATAAAAGTTCTGGTTGGAATGCCTGCAATATAAATATTCATTAAAGGAACATACACAAAAGGAGAAATGTTCTCCTCCCGAGATGGAGGTGTCAGACCGGGGCCAAGAACAAACCTCATCAGTTAGGTTTCTTATGTGGCACTGAGATTCTGTGTACAGGGAACAGCTGAATAAAAGATAAAACAAGATTGATCAATAGCTGTGAACAAAATTAGGAGGTTACATGAGAACTATGGATCCATCTTCTAACAATGGCACAGCTGCACAGTGCTCTCAGCTGTGTTTCATGTATGCTGGAATGCTATAGCCTGACATACACCAAAATCTACCAACTCGGGCAGTACTGGAGTACTAATTTATCTGCAATATTGCTGAAAAAAAACCAAACAGGTAAGCACTTCTCTTCTCCAAAGCAGATGCAGTCAGAAAGCAAGAAATACAGGCAAGAATGGCTAGGCTCTTGCTGCTGTCCAGAGAGCTTCTGTTGCCACAGTGCTAAGAAAAGCTGTCAGAAGACAGATCCTTTTATGAAGTTAGAGAAGACTGGGAATAGACAGGGGAAAAAAATTACTTACTGGCAATTTTCTATGTTGTATCAAGACAGACTGATGTGTTTTCATGCTCCAGGGAGAAAGGCAAGGACTATCACTCAAAGCAGAAATAAATATTTCGTCTTTTCATCTCTTCTTCTTTTAAAGGTCAAAAAATTTCTCAAACTGAACAATTAAAAGCAACACATCAAATAAACTATGAAAGGATTGAGAATTTGTATGGAGACACATAGCAGCTATTGCTGACATACTGATGTAAAGCTCTTTTCATTTTATATTAAAACACAGGAAAACAGAATCCCTGTAATTTAATAGGTATTGTTTCTGTAGGCATGTCCTACTTACATATAGTATCCAAGATCATAGAAACACAGTCCTGTTCAGGTTGAAGGGACCCCCAGAAGATACCTAGTCCAACACCCTGCTCAAAGCAGATCCAGTTAGATCCAAGAATGGAGATCTAACAACATACATGACAAAACTCTACACTTAGATTTTCTAAAGAATGGTTTTGGGTATCATTTAGAAGTACTGGAGGCTCTAATTCCATCACAGTGCTCTTTGTCCATATCATCTCAGAAGAAAGGTTAAGAATGGTTGGTCTTGAGAGTCATAATGGCAGGAGATTAATCCTCTATTTGAGAGCCAGTAACTGAAAAATCTTAGAGGCAGAAATGACTACGTGCTAATCAGCTCAAAGACTATTCATTCACATTTGCATAAGTTTACCGTCAAAAGCAAAAGCAGCTTTAGTTTAAGTGAAATGACACCCTAACAGAATGCTCAGTTTCCCCTCTAAGTGTGAAGCCTCCTTTCGTCTACAACGTAAAGGCTGATTCTCAAACGTACACATTATCCACAGAAAACAAAGAGGGAAGGACCGCAGAGAAGCTGGTTGCCAGGGGACTGCTGCGAAACCATGCCTGCTGGCTGTGACTCACAGGCCACTACTAAAATTTATCCGCATGTCAGCAGGCCTCGCTGTACACCAGTAACAGTGACACACCAAGGGAGGACTGATTATTTGGGTTTAAGCACGAGGGACAGAATTCCTATGCCAGAACTCCCAAATCTTTTTTAATTTGTATTGCCAGTAGCACAAACAGGCAGAAAAACTGTAAGAATTCTGGAAAAAAATACTTTCACAGGTACTCATCCCTTTGTAACACAACCTCCATTTTTATAGAGCAATACTTAATGTTGCTGAGCAATAAGGATTATTTTGCAAAACATTTAATTGTAGGAAAAAATGGGGTGGGTTTTTTGGTGAAAACATGCAGTATGAACAAAAAACTTACTTCAGCTGGTATAAACACTGCCCATATAAAACCTACAAATACCGTGATGCTATTTGGATGGAAGAACAAAAGACTGAAGTAACAGGTCCTGCTCATCAGTGTTGAACTTAAAATTCTGAATGACCTATTCTGGGCTTGCTGTTGCAGAGTAAACTAGTGCATTTTCCCTCCTCTTTTACCTTCCTTGTCATTCCAACATTGCATGCCTTTTTGACCACTAGTGAGCCACAAGTTCATGACAGAAACTCCTCTCACGTGAAAGCAGCTAATTTAGGGCTCATCCCTACGTATGCACACTTCATAGAACCACATTCCTTTTACAGAAAAGGAGTTTACCTAATTACAGTTACATTCCCTTGAAGGCGTCTCTGTAACTGTGCTATACATTAGGCAAACCATATAACAAATGTGGGAGCATTTAATGGATATTCTTCAATAATTTTTTTTTCCCCTTCATTGAGGTCTTTCTGTTCTGGTATTGCTTCATCCTGACCTCTTCCTGAGCAGTTGTATACACAATGTCAGGCATAAGCTCTGTATACCAAGAAAACATAGCAAAGGCAGCTGAATCTCAATAGATAAGCACTGAGACCATGATGTTGAGTTAGAAGTTGGTGTTCTTTAAAATTGAAAAACCAAGTTATTTGGGGTTTTTTTAAGGTCAAATGAAACTTCCAAATGAAAAGATCAAATGTAAATTTGGCATGCCACCTATGAAAGGAAATTCCCCTAGATGGAGTATATAATAAAATAAAAATTTTTAAAACAAGCAAACTAAAAAACAAGCAAAACTAAAATAAATGAATACAGTATTAGTAAGAGTGACACGAGCAGCTAGTCTGAGAAGGGCTTTTGGCAGAATGAAGCAAGACCACAGATGGTGATCATAAACTGCATATTAATCTGATATGCTCTTGGTTCACTGAAAAGGATTTAAACAGTTAAGTTATTTTCCTTGCTGTTGCAGCATCTATACTAATAATGTTCATTTTTATGTGCTGTAAGCATTCCTGTCTCAATTGCATAATTCAATGTCCTCAATTAGAGTCTTCAACCTAATAGAACCCTAACAGCTTTGAAAGGCTGCCAAAACACAGTCACCATACAGTACACCATCAAACCAATAACTAAATCAATCTAATTAACAAATTAGGCTACATCACCTATGACCCTAAGATACTGATGGAGCTGAAAGGCTTTTCACATTGTAGATGGATACACACGCATATTTTAATATTTAAAGTGTTGGTAGTCTTACTAATGTCCTAGTGGTTAAAAAGCACCTGTAGTACTGGAAATTCAAAATGCTATCATGCTGCTTCATCTGACAACTTTTTAAAATGGCTGTAACTTAAAGAAGAAACAACCCAAAACCCAGCCTTTTCAGAAAAACTTCGGAGTTCCAGAGCTTGAGAAGTACTCATTCCTCTCAAATGCACGAAGGGAAAAATTGTTGGCAGAAGGGAGAAGGAAGAAAAATCTTTAGCTGTTTGAAATACTATGTAATAATTACATTTCTGGGTTTATTATTTTAAGAGGCAACTGCTTTTTTTTCTGAATGACCACAACATGACCAAGAGTTTTAGTTAAGAGAATTAAGCAACCAGTGATATATTCCTCATTATGTCATATGCCCTACTCGAGAATTGCTCTAAGGTTAGCAATTACTGATTTCATTAACTACCAGATACCTTCTTCTGTCACGTTCCACTGGTAACTGAAATATATGGCTGAACAGTTTTAAGATGTGCTGCTGGAAAAATTCCTAGCTTTCTTTCACAGAAGTCCATGCTAGTCACTAGCCACAAAAGGAGTATATTCAAGGCTCAGGGAATTTGAAAAGGTGTTCCTACTTCAACCACAAAAACTATCACTGTAAAATACATTAGTTCTAAATGCAGCTATTAGGACAAAGTACTTACTTAGGCTACTCAGTTGTCTGATTATATTTGCCAAGGAGATATTGGTGACACATTCCAATTCATTCTTGATACCTCGGGGCAGAGCTGTGTGGCATAGGTGCCTGGGGTCTATGTTTCTTTTTACCAGCGGCATTCTGAAATGTATCAGAGGACCAGCAAACCTGTAACGAAAGGAGACAAAATAATGTTTTAAGTTTAATTATATTTTGAAACTCAAATGATGTCTAAAGTGAAATTGACCAATCCTAACAAGATCGAAATACCTCCACAGTACTGATGGAATTCATTGCTCTGTGAGTACATAAATATTTTCTTCTTTGCCCAGTTTCATTCTCTCTCTTTAAACCTTTACCTGACTCATGCCA